ATAAGCTTTTCCTGAAATCTGAAAAACCTTGCAGCCTGAATAAACCTGTAACCGGAAAAACCCTAAACCCTCAAGACCTTTTGCCCTAAACCCTAAACCCTAGAACCTAAAACCTAAACCCTAGACCTTTTACCCTAAACCCTAAATACTAAGCCCTAAACCCTAAACCCTAGAACCTAAAACCTAAACCCTAAACCCTAAACCCTAAACCCTAAACCCTAAACCCTAAACCCTAAACCCTAACCTCCCAAGCAGCCCGCAACTTCATTGACAGGGCACTGCCGGGTCCCTGGTCCTTTGGCTCAGCGTACTTCCACATGGGCCTTCAAGACGCTGGGCTTTGCTGTTTAGGGTTTAGGGTTTAGGGTTTAGGGTTTAGGGTTTAGGGTTTTAGGGTTTAGGGTTTCGGAAGCCCGAGCAAAAACACTCGGTGCCAGATGCGGAGCAACAGCCAAGCCATCCCAACAGCCCAAATTCAAAGAAACCCTCAACCCTACACCCTGAACCCTGAACCCTAAACCCTAAACCCTAAAACCTCTGCGAGTTCGAAGCTCTATATCCTGTCGAACACGTGCTCAGACTTGATGGTTGGACCACTCACCCCAAAGGTCCAGGTGCCTATTTGTAGTATAGTCTTGGGCCCTACAGCTACGATATGGGATCCCCGTTTAAGCGCCAAGCATATACGATATAATGGATCTTACAAGCCCTACAAACCCTAAACCCTAAAGTGGCTCAGGAAATCTTGGCCGCGTCCCGCGGGTGTCCGCGTACGTTGCCCCTCGGCGCTGTGGTGTCTGGGACCCTGGGCCCCACCCTAACACCCCGCCCCTCAGACTAAATATTCCTATTTAGGGTTCCAGGGTTTGGGGTTTTAGGGATTTAAGGGTTTAGGTTTTTAGGGGTTTAGGGTTTTTAAGGGTTTAGGATTTTAGGGTTTAGGGTATTATGGTTTAGGGCTTTATGGTTTAGGGTCTAAACATCATGGGGTCCTTTCATCGTGGTAGGGGGGGGGGGGTTTCCATGTTAGCGGTGGAGGCGGTTTCAGACCCCCGGCCGCGAGATACTTAAACCGAAGCTCGCGCAAGTGCATGCCCTAACCTTGGGGATCAAGTGAACCCAAAAGTCGGGATCAGAAAAACCCTGCGGTTCACAATTCGTAGGGTTTCGGGTTTAGTGTTTAGGGTTCAGGGTTTAGCGTAAAAAAAACAGAGTCCTACTCACTAAACTACACGTATGGGCTTTGTTGAGGCCGCAAGGCAGTGCAATATCCTTTCCCCGATCGACCGTGAGTCTTAAACAGCTTAAATTAAACCCCAAACCCTAAACCCCGAACCCTCAACCCTAAACCCCAAACCCCGAACCCGAAACCCTAAATCCCAAACCCTAAACCTTCCTTTATATAATTTGTAAACCGTAAACCGTTCGTGTTTAGGCCATGCTCCCGGTGGACGCCGCGCCGTTCCTGGGCAGCGGACGAAACCCGGAGCGGCCTCTGAGCATGTCAGATGCAGGCCAGGGTTTATTGTTTAGGGTTTAGGGTTTAAGGTTTAGGGTTTAGGGTCTAGGGTTCAGGGTTTATAGTCTAGGGTTTAGGGTTCATGGGTTCATGGGTTCATGGGTTCATGGGTTCATGGGTTCATGGGTTCATGGGTTCATGGGTTCATGGGTTCATGGGTTCATGGGTTCATGGGTTCATGGGTTCATGGGTTCATGGGTTCATGGGTTCAGGGCTGGGTTTCCGGAAGACTGGCTTTGAGAAGACGCTAGCTAAATAGGGGATCAAAACCCTGAATGGCGGGGGGGGGGGGGTTATTCGGTTTTGGGGGTTCATGTGCTCCCCAAGGGACTAGGCGACTTGGCGTGTTGGCGTTTGCAGCACGTCAACATCCAAACTTACAAAACTTCCGACGCTGATCCTTGATTTGGCTGAGACTGGCAGCAGCATGTGTGGTCCTGACCTTGTCCAGCCGCTCCTGACCTGGTCAGGTACGTTAGCGTATGACGATGCCGAGAAGGCGTCTTAGGGGCGTTGCTGGGACATGCCTTTCGTACATCCAAGAACATGCCCCAGCTTGCATGCCGCATGCCCTCTCAACTTCTTTTTTTGGCGAAGTCTTGCACCTTACCGAGCCCCAAAACCTTTCAACCACCGGATGCTTCCAGGCCTCTCACAAACTTTGGGGCCCTTGGGGACAGAACGAACCCTAAGCAGGCTTATGGTCCAAAACCCTAAACCCCAAATCCTAAACCCTAAACCCTAAACCCTAAACAGGTTTATGGCCAATTTTAGGGTTCGTTTGGTCCGCCGGTCCCCCCCAGCTCCAGGTCTCGTCTTTGAAGCGCTTGGGCGCCGCGGAGCATCGCAGGCGGTGGGAAGAAAGGCTGCCGCTTCTAGAGGAGGACCCAAAAGAGCCACTTGGGCTTCATTTGGCGTTTTGGGGTTAGGGGTTAGGGTTTAGGGTTTAGGGTTTAGGGTTTAGGGTTTGAGAAACCGGGATATTTACATTGTTGAAGGATTGAAGTGTTTTGAGCAACGGACGCACATATTTGTCTGCCACTTCACGGGGTCTACGGGCCCTCCACCTGTTCAGCCACTTCAAGCATCTTCTCCCGAAGCCCTCGCAAACACGGGAAGCACAACGCCTTCTACCATGACGTCCTAAACCCTAAACCCTAAACCCTAAACCCTAAACCCTAAGCGCCCAGGTCCGAGCTGCCACACTACCCGCCCGGTGAGGACGGCCGGAGGCGGTGCCTTCGTGGTCCAGATTGCCTGAAGAAGCAGTTATACTTTCGGGTTTAGGGTTTAGGGTTTAGGGTTAGAAGTTAGAAGCAGTATCGAGTCGCAGGGTATACGATCACATGTTCAGGGATCCGCAGAAGGTTCCCGTGGTGTGATGATCCCCCTATATAGGGTCTAAAATTGCTGAGTGTCCTAGGGTCTAAATTGCTTAGTGTGCACAATAATCTCTGCAGTACCCTTATAAGGAAGAATATTTTGATCTTTTTTTTTTTTTTTTTGGGGGGGGGGGGGGCGTCTTAAGCAACTCGTAGTTACTGAAGGCCTTGGGATGCCACTGGCCGAAAAAAAAAACAGCAGCCCGAACCAAAAAAGTCGGAGGCCAGCCGACCTGACGGTCCCCTCCTCAGCTTCGGGAAACCTCAGAAAGCCCTAAACCCTAAGCCCTAAACCCTAAACCCTAAACCCCAAGCCCTAAACCCGAAACCCTAAACCGTAAACATTATAAACCCTAAACCCTCTAGCAGGGCTTCGGCTTCAACAGAGGGAGTTTGGATTCCGGATCCAGGGCTCAGGAACTGTGGCACAGGATCCTACTTGAAGGTTCATGGGTGGTTATAAGTGGGGTGAAAAGTAGGGTTTAGGGTCTAGGGGCTGGTTAGTTATAGCCTTATTTCGGGTTCTTATTTATAACCCTACGTATGACTACCCATGAACCTCTCTCCAAGTAGACCCTAAGCCCTATGACGTCCGAATGCTCAAGCCCGGTCACGCAAAGCACGAGACACGTCAATGCCATGACCAAATCCTAAACATCTTGATCGTACACCCGGTTTATGTAGCTACCACCGGGTGTATAATCAAGATCTTTTGGATTCACAAAACCCTTTTCGAGTTCATTCAGTCCCCAGGGTTCTAGAGACCGTACAAGGAATCCTACGAAGTTCCCAGTGCCAGAAGCCTGAACGACAAACACTTCGATAACAAGGAACCCCTAGCACTGACCCACAGTAGGATCCCCTTTATAATAAGGACCCCAATAAGGTACCCCTAGTATCATAAGCCCCCATGTCTTCTCGCTCTCTCCCTCTCTCTCTCTCTCTCTCTCCCTCTCTCTCTCTCTCTCTCTCTCTTTCCCTAAACCCTCCGCCCTGAAGCCTAAACCCGGAAGCCTAAACCTCAACCCTGAACCCTAAACCCTAAACTGTCCCTCTCCGATGCTCAGTCCCTGGGCCGAAAGCTGGTTGGATTGGACAGCTGGGAGGAGGGGATGAAAGGTAGGGGGGTCGTTGGGGGAGGGTTTAGGGTTCAGGGTTTAGGGTTCTGGGTTATAGGGTTTAGGGTTTTGGGTGTGGGGGTACGGGGTAGGTGAGACAGACTGGTCCAGGGCCCAAGAGTTCTTGGCTTGTGTGTGCTTGTCGTTGCACTACAGGCAGCGGAGAGTGCACAAGACAAACCTACATCACCCCCACCTTCCCCAGTAAATGGGGCATCGCCGGGCCCCGCGCTGTTGAAGGCGGATACGTTTGTGAACAAGAGCCTTGGGTATCTGACACCAGGGAGACTCCCGAGTCGCAGTGGGTTTTGGGGGAGGGATGGGCCACCTGAACCCTAAACCCTAAACCCTAAACCCTAAACCCTAAACCCTAAACCCTAAACCCTAAACCCTAAACCCTAAACCCTAAACCCTAAACCCTAAACCCTAAACCCTAAACCCTAAACCCTAAACCCTAAACCCTAAACCCTAAACCCTAAACCCTAAACCCTAAACCCTAAACCCTAAACCCTAACCCCTAACCCTAAACCCTAACTCTAAACCCTAAAGCAACACGAAGACGCCTGCAAGAACCTCCGGTCAGGAGCCAGAGTCCAAGCGGCCGAAGCACGAGATGGCTGAGGGACAAAAAGAGCGCGGAAAGCCAAGGGTTTGGGGTTTAGGGTTTAGGGTTTAGGGTTTAGGGTTTAGGGTTTAGGGTTTAGGGTTTAGGGTTTAGGGTTTAGGGTTTAGGGTTTAGGGTTTAGGGTTGCAAGCGCTGACTCGTTTGCGCCGTTCTCTTTGTTGTACATCGTTCTTTTTGGCGTGAAGAGGATCATACTTCGAAATCTCAGAACCTGCTACCATAGAGGCAAAGAAAATCCTAACCCTAAACCCTAAACCCTAAACCCTAAACCCTAAACCCTAAACCCTAAACCCTAAACCCTAAACCCTAAACCCTAAACCCTAAACCCTAAACCCTCAGCCTCCTGGCGTTCTGAGGCTCTGGGACCGCGCCGAGGAGCAATTGCAACAGGCTAGGGAGGGTGCGAACGAGTCGAATCAGGGGTTAGGGTTTAGGGTTTAGGGGTTTAGGGGTTTAGGGGTTTAGGGGTTTAGGGGTTTAGGGTTTAGGGTTTAGGGTTTTCGAGTGTTTTGAGGTTTTTAGGGTTTAGGGTTTTGGAGGGTTTGGACGTTTTAAGGCTTAGGGTTTGGAGGGTTTGGATGTTTTAGGGTTTGGGGTTTGGGTTTGGAGGGTTGTCGTGTGTAAGGATTTACGTATAGGTAGCCCTTAGGGTTCAGGTACGCAGCTGTTGTGGTTTACATCTGTAACAATTATTGAGCATAGCCTTACCGGTGTGAATGGGGTGTGGTGAAATCCCACCCCTATATTCCCGTTAAGGGGTACTTGTATGGATTTGTGGCTTGAATTTTCTTGCACACTCACCACTAGCACTGGTCTGTCTGCCCCCACATCCTCACGACTGACAACCATAAACCCTAAACCCTAAACCCTAAATCCTAAACCCTAAACCCTAAACCCTAAACCCCCTAAATCCTAAACCCTAAACCCTATACCCAACCCTAAACTGATGCTCGGCTTCTGTCGGGCTACAGTGGGCTGGGCCCATGCCTGACAGCAGCACTAGGCACGGCAAGACCGAAGGAGGGCCTCTACCTGGGGCACTACATGAACCCTAAAGTTGGGATCGTGTACTTTTTTTGTTTTTACTCTAAGCCCCTAAACCCTAAACCCTAAACCCTAAACCCTAAACTCTAAACCCTAAACCCTAAACCCTAAACCCTAAACTACCACAATCCCTTTACAGTTACCACAATCCCTATACACCACTCTTGTCCCTATGGTGAAGGTAAAATGGACGCAGGACTCCTGCACAGCCCCACACGAGTAGTTCTCGCAAATCGGGGTCCTTGTCTTGTCCCGTAACCAAAAAAGAACTGGCTACTTTCAGAACCCGAAAGTACTTTGTGTTGTAGGCTGTTGCTCTTAAACCCCATTATAGGATAAGCCCTCAACCCGAATCCCTAAGCCTGACATCTCAAACCCTTAACCCCGAACCAAGAAAAAGCAGGCTTCAGGGCTCTTAAGGTGCCCACACTCAACAAGCCGAACCCTAAACCCTAAACCCTAAACCCTAAACCCTAAACCCTAAACCCTAAACCCTAAACCCTAAACCCTAAACCCTAAACCCTAACCCTAAACCCTAAACCCTAAACCCTAAACCCTAAACCCTAAACCCTAAACCCTAAACCCTGAACCCTGAACCCTGAACCCTGAACCCTGAACCCTGAACCCTGAACCCTGAACCCTAACCCCCCTGAAGCCCCTGAAGCCCCTGAAGCCTCTCGTCAGGCTCTGAACAGCACTGGCCGGCCCTGGTCCCTGAAGAAGGGCGACGGCTTCCGCCTCAGTGTCACGGGAGCTGCAATCTGCAAAGCCAGGGTTTAGGGTTTAGGGTTTAGGGTTTAGGGTTTAGGGTTTAGGGTTTAGGGTTTAGGGTTTAGGGTTTAGGGTTTAGGTTTAGGGTTTAGGGTTTAGGGTTATCAGGCTCCTTGTTGGTTTTAACTGTTTGTTGACATGGGCGTGTAGTTCACGAAGCCCCGCAGACCATGCAAATCTACGGTTCTTCTGGCTTGTACTGGGGCCCAGCATACTTTGAATCCAATGTCCGGCTGAGCGCCAAGGTGCTTTCTACGGGCCAAAGATTGACATCCAGCTGAAGGACGGGTCTGCTCAGTTTTGTCAGTTTATGCTCTCCAAGCCCTCGGCGCGCCGAGCATGTTGGGTGCGGAATGACCCCCTTTAAACCCTAAAACCCGAAATCCTAAACCCTGATTAAATAAACCCTAAACTAATCCCGGCACTCTACCCCTTGAGAGGCTATAAGTAAGTGCCTGGACACTCCCCTTCCCCTCACCTCAGCCGTTGTGCACAACCGTAAACCCTACACACTGAACTCTAAACGCCCGCAGGCTTTTACGTTCAGGGTCTAGGTAAACCCTAAACCCTAAACCCTAAACCCTAAACCCTAAACCCTAAACCCTAAACCCTAAACCCTAAACCCTAAACCGTTCCCTGGACCGGCAGGATGCCTTGGGAAGAGGACACCAGTGCATCGGCTGCACCAGCGGATGTCATGTGAGCTCTTAGGGCTTGGGCTTTAAGGGTTTAACAGAGGGTGAACAGAGGGGTTTTAAGGGTTTTAAAGGGCTGTAAAGGGTCTTTTCAGGGGTTTAAAGAGGGTTTGATGGGTGTTAAGGGTTTTGAGGGCCTAAAAGGTTTCAAGGCTTTGAAGGCTTAGAGGGCTTAGATGCCTCAAAGGGTGTTAGAGCGTTTAAAGCGCTTTTTAAAGGGTTGTCAGGGTTTTAAGGGTTTAAAGGGTTTCAGGGTTTTAAGGGCTTAAAGGGTGTTAAGGGTTTGGAGGGTTTAAAGGGTTTGAAAGGGCTGTAAAAAGGTCTTTTAAAGCGTTTCCGGTTTGGGGTTTAGGGTGTAGGGGTTTAGGGTTTGCGGCTTTGGAGTCTTCATGATCATGTTTTGGTGAGTGTGAGTTCCTGGACTAGTGGCGAGTGCATCCGTTGGGTGCCCTTCTAAGCATGCCAGGAATGAAGCTTCAAAGTCGGAGGGCATGTAGGGCAATGTAGGGCTGAATCATGTTTCGGCTGGGGTGAAGGATCGGGGGCGTCATGGCACTGCCTGAACGTAGATTCAGGAATGGGAGAGACCCGAAACCCTAAGCCCTAAATCCTCGACCCTGTAAACCCTAAACCCTAAACCCTGGCCTCAACTCCAAAACGATTCTGGGCAGTTTTTGAAGCGAAGTCAAGACCCAACACCCCAAGCAAGCTACCGCGGCGAAGCCCGTAACCCTCAACCCTGAACCCTAAACCCTATAAACCCTAAACCCTGAACCCTAAACCCCCCTCTTGTTGGGAATCCGGAATGCGCCTCTTCTTTTTGGCATTCGCGGCGCAGCTAAGCCCTGTATCCTGAAAGCCTAAGGCCCCTTGAAGCTCCCCCTCCTTAGGGTTTAGGGTTTAGGGTTTAGGGTTTAGGGTTTAGGGCTTAGTAAGCGCCTATAGAATCCCTGAGCTCCAAACCCTAAACTTGGGATGTTCCCTCTTATACTAACAGTCCTGAATAGGACTTGTCGTGCCCCTATTGTACTCCCTATTGAGGACTGTTAGTACAGGGTGAACATCCCAACCCTAAACCCTAAATCACTCGAACTAAGCCGCAACGCCAAGATGCGGAACGATCCAGCTGGATTTTCAGTTGCCGGGGCCCCACACCGCTTTCACAGTTTGAGGATCTAGAGCTTGAGGGCCCTTTAATCAGAACACGGCAATTGGGTTCCTGGAAGTATAAGGGAAGAGTTACGATGAGTTGCTGGCATAAGTGGTGGTGGGTGGTGGGTGGGGCATTTCTTTGGCCCGAGGTCTTCAGGGCTTCGGTGTCTTTGGTTCTTTGGCCTTGTCGGCTTCAAGGGCGTCGTAGTGCAGCTAAATCGTCACGCGTTTTTGGGCCAATGTAGATCCAAGTGCTCCGAAGTTTTTCGGGACCCCCCCCCCAGCGCTTGGAAGGTTTCAAGGGCGACCCCAGCTCCTTAGCCCACCTAGGAGTTGATCTTGATGATGGGTCTGGGCCCTATACACCCTGAATAGACTTTCATAGAGGACCCCTAAACCTTGTAAACCCTATAAACCCTACAAACCCGATGAACCCTGTAAACCCTTTTTAACTTGATAAACCCTTTAAACCTTATAAACCTGATACATACTATAAACCCTATAAACCTTATACATCCTATAAACCCTATAAACCCTAAACCCTAACCTTCGGGCCTCAGACCCCCGACTCTGGAGGCCTCTGCGCTTCAACCTCAAATATCAGGAGAAAGCAGCAGAGGTCCAGGAGGAGGGGCAGGGGGGGGGAGGTGAGGAAGATCCTCCTGACCCTAAACCCTAAACCCGAAACCCGAAACCCTAAACCCTAAACCCTAAACCCTAAACCCTAAACCCTAAACCCGAAACCCGAAACCCGAAACCCTAAACCCTAAACCCTAAACCCTAAACCCTAAACCCTAAACCCTAAACCCAAACCCCACTGAATTGGAGGAGGCCAGGCTGCCCCCAGGCAGCAAAGGCTAGCACGTCTTCCCCCTGGTTCTTAGTAGGGAATGAAGGAATGAGGGCCCTATATAATTCTCTTAAAGGGTATAAGTAGGGCCCTCATTCCCTCATTCCCTACTAGGAACCAGGGAGTCTTGCAAGCCACACACACGCGCATGACAGGAGCCGGCTGAAAAGAAGCCCACCGCTGAGGCCGCTGAGGGCTCTGAGAAGGCAGTCCCGGGGGGGACATGGAGATTCTAAACCCTCCCTTAACCCTAAACCCTAAACCCTTGTGAAAACCCGAAACCCTAAACCCTAAACCCTAAACTCTAAACCTGACCACTTTCAGGTGGCCCTTCAGAATTGTCAGGTGGCACTATCTGGGGGGTTTTTCCGATAGGGGGGTTCCTGTCAGAAGGACTATATATATATATATATTTATTTACATTTATTTAAATCTATTTTTCTCTATTTATAGATACACCTTGGGGTATATATAAATTAAGAAAGTGGTGTTTTTGCGAAATGGGTTGCTCCTATTTGGGCAGATGCTCATTATGTTATGCGAAAGGCCTTCTCAGGGCTTCAGGAGATTTCGGGATTCTTTTGGTCCCAACCTTCAGGACCCCAAGTCCTGGCACGAGACGTCGGGTTTGGGGTTTAAAGGGTTTAGGGTCATGTAGGGTTTAGGGTACCAAAAACCCTACACCCTAAACCCTTAACCCTTAGAACCCTAAGGCGTTGTCATGTGAAGTAGGGTTTATATTTCTTCTACCCCCCAAAAGGACACCAGGTATATGCACTCACCAATATTAAAAAGGAACCTTACATACACTCACCAAGAACAGTAATATAAACCCTACTTCATCTCATCCCAACATGGCCTGGGGTTGAGAAGGGTGGACTTCGGGGTGCCAAGCAGGCTAGGGCAAGGAAGCTTGTGCTCAGGTAACCTTTTTCTACGTATGTGTAATCCTACTACAAGTAAACGGTTGGCCCTTTTGGGGCTAGGGTGTTCAGCCCCCAAAACCACAGGAGAACCCCGGACCCTAAACGCCCCAAATCCGCGGCCCCGAAGCTCTCAACCCACAAGCAACCCACCCCAAAACAAGAATAAAATAAGATAAACAAGCGCGCGCACACACACGCGCGCGCGCGCGAAAGCTCTAAGCTCCTAGCTCTGAACCCTAAACCCTAGACTGTGAGAGTCCCAGGAGCCGGTGCTCCCGGCGGGCTACGCACGGCCGGTGATCGTCCACCGAGTCACCCATCTAAAATGTGGTGTTGGGTTTAGGGTTTTTGGGTTTAGGGTTTAGGGTTTTAGGGTGTAGGGTTTAGGGTTTAGGGTTTAGGGCTAGCAATGATGATGATAGTAAGAGCCATAATATTTAGTAACAGTAGTAACAAGGATACTGCACTTGAGGAGCTGGAAACGACACGCAAGCACAAAAACGGAGTGCTTCCTGTACACTCTAGTGTTGGGCAAGTTACGAAAATCAGGGGACGCCCAAATAGTCGGATTCCCTTATAAATAAGGACCCCCAAAAAGGTACCTAACATCGTAAACCTTCAAATCCCCCTAAAACTCTAAACCCTAAACCCTAAACTCCCTACACCCTCTACTACACCCTCTACCCCCGAAGCCCCCTAAACCGCTTCTTAAGGCAAACCCTAAACCCTAAACCCCTACACCCCATACCCCCTAAACCCTAAACCCTAAACCCTAAACCCTAAACCCTAAACCCTAAACCCTAAACCCTAAACCCTAAGCCCCCCTAAACTGCTTCTTGAGGCGATCCTGGGATCTGTGGAGCGCATGCTGGGCGTCCTCTGTGCGCCTGCCCGGGTTCAGGAAGTCTGAGCTCCGATGGGTTTAGGGTTTAGGGTTTAGGGTTTAGGGTTTAGGGTTTAGGGTTTAGGGTTTAGGGTTTAGGGTTTAGGCCCCAAGCAGGCGATTTTTTTGGCAACGTCAGCCAAGAACCCGATATATGGTTTCAGAATCGAGAAACGCTACAAAGAGCAGGTGTGGGGTTCTTAAGGTCGAGCCCTGGGGCTCCCATTGAGCAGGGGCACCTTGGCACCCAGAACTACAATGAGCACACTACGAAACCCCAAACCCTAAACCCTAAAAGGGGTTTAGGGTTTAGGGTTTAGGGTTTAGGGTTTAGGGTTTAGGGAAACCCTAAACCCTAAAAGGACCCAGACCTTGAGGGCGAGGACCCAGAAGTCGAGCTTGCCTGAAGTAAAGTTACTTTCCGCATCCCTGCTTCCTTGCTGATGGACTTACGAAGGTCGAAAGCCTAAGGCCCTGCTAAGAGGCGCCGACAAGCCCTAAACCCTGAACCCTAAACCCTAAACCCTGAACCCTGAACCCTAAACCCTAAAACTCTAAAACTCTAAAACTTGGCTGCCCTCAAAGTCAACGTCAACGAAGTTGCCTAAAGCACCGAGGCGAACACTACGCCGGGAGCTCAGAAGGTTCTGGTGTTTGTTTAGGGGCTTTTAACCTAGACCACTTTAGCTTCGATTAAGGTGATATGGACCAGAAGCCCTTTCCGGGTTCAAGTAGTCCCCAAGGTATATGGACCAGAAGCCCTTTTCGGGTTCAAGTAGTCCCCAAGGTACTTGAGAATCTCAGACAGTAGCTGTGGAGCAGGTCCAAGGGAGTCTATGAGGCTTGTGCCATTCTTGCCTTCCATTGGCAGGCTCAAGACACGGGTTTGGGGTTCAGGGTTTAGGGTTTATCATGGATTTCCCTACTACCCCCTGTATACTGCCCCCGCCTAGGTTCCCCCTTAAAAAACCTTGTAAGGCTTAACCATCCCTAAATAGCCTTAATTATGGGGAGAACCTGGGGGGGGTAGAATCTATAGTCTATGGCAGGTAGGATTACAGACCCTGCTTTGGAAAATTCGTTTAGAGTCCATGGTACCCTAGTAGGGATTGCAGTACATGCCGGGTAGATGAATCCTAATTTTGGGGGCCCTCCGGCCCCAACATTCTGGAGCCTCTGCTTCAGCTGCCTACTTGGAGGTTCATGGGTAGCCATAAGTACCCTAAACAAGTCATAAACAGATGTAAGTATAGTTTCCCTACCTGCAACCCCACTTAGAACTACGCATGCACTTTCAAGTAGCCCAAAACCCTAAACCCTAAACCCATAACACCTGCCTTATAACTACCCAAGGAACCTTCAACTAGCGGCTTAGGGTTTAGGGTTTAGGGTTTGGGGTTTAGGGTTTAGGGTAATTGCTGAGTAGTCAGTATAGCGCCCCGCCACCTGTGAGTGGACATGCTGCGAGTATGCCGCAGGCTTGTTTTTGCAGTGGCACTTTTCTTGGAAGCTGCCCAATCAGCTGTGACTCCATAGAACAAGGTCAGTGTCACGACTCGCTCAGAGGAGACGACTTACCCCAGTCCTGTCTGAAGGTTCGTATGACCCCCACTGTGTTGCACTTGCTTCCATCGGCTCTTTTCAGCTGCCACCAGGCCCAGCACATCCTGGACAACACCCTAAACCCTAAACCCTAAACCCTAAACCCTAAACCCTAAACCCTAAACCCTAAACCCTAAACCCTAAACCCTAAACCCTAAACCCTAAACCCAAATAAGATCCCATGTTTCAGCAACCCCCGGTCCCCTGCCTGATGATTGTCTTCCACGGCGCATGGCCGACCACGCGGGGAGCGCGACCGAGGCACAGGAAGATGAGTCTCAGGGGACCCTTGCTGCATGGTTTAGGGTTCGGGGTTCAGGGTTTATACAACCGGGAGCCAGTGTCGAGCAAGGGTTTGAGACCTTGAGTTTGGGCCTCCCGTGCGCAGGTTCTGGCGCCCGGCGTCCTGGCGCGCGCTGTGCCAGGACGCGCAGCGCAAGTTCTGGGTTTCTTGTCAGTCTCGCATGCGGCCGGCAGGCGACATAGGGTTCCAAAGCAGATATTTTTTTGAGGAGGGGCGCGAGGGGGGCACAGAATGCTGGAGGTTGCTACAGATCAGGGTTCCGACACCCCCAAAGCCCCCCGCAAACGTCCCGAAGCATTGTTGTTATACAGTTTTCAGCTGGCGGTGGACATGACTCAGACTGGTTTCGGGCATTTCTGGTTTAGGTAGGGTTTCCCAAATAGGGGTCCCCCCTAATATACCCCCCAAAAGTAGTATAATCCTTATTTTAGGAACCCCGAAACGGGTACCCCCATTTTCGGAGGTCCCCATACAGGGTTCAGGGTCTATACTTGGAGTCATGGGTATTTATAAAGTAGGGCTATAAGGAAGGGAACTATGGCTATAACCTTAGGGTACTTATAACCCCGCTTGTAATTACCCATGAACCTTCAAGTAGCCCTAAACCCTAAACCCTAAACCCTAAACCCTAAACCCTAAACCCTAAACCCTAAACCCTAAACCCTAAACCCTAAACCCTAAGAACCCTAAACCCCAAACACCCGAGTCGCAGGATGCGGCGTCGCTGCCTTCGCTGCAAGAGCCTTCCGCCGAGGTGATGTCGTGTGCCCTGGGCGCAGAATTCTGGGGACCAAAGAAACATGTAAAACAATTGGGGGTTTAGGGTTTAGGGTTTAGGGTTTAGGGTCTGGGGTCTGGGGTTTGGGGTTTGGGGTTTGGGGTTTAGAGGGATACACTCCCCTTATACTCCTAAAATTCGCTTCTATGAATCCGACTAAGGGATCAATGATCCCACCTCGAAAACCAAATGAACCCCAAAAGGGTTTATGGCTCATATACCTTATTCGGAAGTATAGGAGTTGTAGTAGCTTTGCGTATAGGACTCCCTTTTTTAGGGTTCATGTGGTCCCCAGGGGGAAAGCTGAGCCACAGACGTGCATGGCACTGCTTCAGGTGTACAGGTGTACAGGCTTGGTTTTGCAGGGTTTGGGGTTTAGGGTTTAGGGCTTACCAGCCTCCCCAGCTGCTTGGAGACCCAATCGCACGTTCATAAGTCTGGACTGGTACCTCTGAGTTTAGGGTTCAGGGTCAAGGGTTTTCGGCTTAGGGTCATAGATGCATCTGCGTTTTCTTGACTGTTCACCAACAGGCATGATGCTGGTAGGCCTGCTCCGACGATCAACCTCTCAAAGCAAGCAAAGTCTCGCTCCCCTCGATCCTCGAACCATGTCACGTTCGAACCAGAAACCCTGCTTAGGGTTCGACTACGAACCAAAGACCCTTCTAGAGTTCTACTACTATAACCCCTATACAAGTCGCATGAACCAGAAACCCGTTTAGGTAAAGTTTGGGGCTCTACTACTATAATCCCTCAATATGAGTCAGACGAACCAAGATCCCTTTCAGGGTTCAGAGAGTCCCCAAAGGCCCAAACCAAGGGACTAACAGAGGGGCCCTTACAAGGGCACACAGGGTGTGTGTATATAAATATATATGCATATACAAATAGGCGTTATATAGAAGAATAAGATTACGGATCCCTTATAGTGATATTTCACCCTAAACCCTAAACCCTAAACCCTAACCAAAGAAGACCACCTGTTCAGGCTCGCTGAGGAGGCGCTCTTCTTCAGCGCTGTGGCCGCCCCTAAGCGCGCCAACGCCGCGCTGCTGCGGGCGCTGCGTCTCGGATGGCTACGGTTGGGCGGAGGGAGGGAGTTTGCCCAGGTCAGCCTGGACGGGGTCGAAGGGAGGCTGTAAGACGAGGCGAACAGCAAGCCCTAAACCCTTAATCCTGCACCCTGAACCCTAAACCCTGAACCCTAAATGAAGCCCTAAGCCCTAAATCTTAAACCCTAAATGAAGCCCTAAACCCTCAAGGCACGATGAGCTGGCACGACGGCGACTACCCGACTTCGAGCCCAGCGGTGGGCCGCACTTGTGCTGGGGTTTAGGGTTTAGGGTTCAGGGTTCAGGGTTGAAGGTTTAGGGTTTAGGGTCCAGGGTTGAGGGTTGAGAGTTAAGGATTTAGGGTTTAGGGTGCAGGGTTGAGGGTTTAGGGTTTAGGGTCCCGGGTTGAGGGTTTAGGGTTTCGGGTTTTGGGGTAATTTTTGGATTCAGATATGTGTCATGTTGAAGGATGTTTGCTTTTGCAAAGTTCTCCATGGAGCCCTTGCGGGTTTATTGGAACCTAAACGACCCAAACACCCCGACCCCCCCCACCCCCCCCCCTGGAACCCTCCCCTGAACCCTAAACCCTAAACCCTAAACCCTAAACCCCAAATCCCCAGGGCACCTCGGGGCCTTGGCGGCTCTCCGGGACCTGGGCCCCAAGCGGTGCAAGGCGCCAGCGCTTCTGAGAGTTTTGAGGGTTCAGGGTTTAGGGTTAGGGCTTAGGGCTTGGGGCTTAGGGCTTAGGGCTTGGGGTTTGTGAGGGTTTTGTGAGGATTTTGTGAGGGCTTTTGAGGGTTTGTGGGAGTTTGAGGGTATTTGTGAGGGCTGGGAGGGGTTTTTGTGAGAGTTTTGAGGGTTTTTGATGGCTTTGAGGGTGGTAAGGGTTTTGAGGGTTTGGGGTTTAGGGTTTAGGCTTAGGGTTTAGGGTTTAGGTTTCCTAGATTTCCTAGGGTTCCTACTGTTTAGGGCTTAGACGAGTACAGGGTGTATCGGGCCTAGCAGGGTTGAAGGAAGGTTGCGTGGGTTCTTGAGGTCACCTACGAAAGCGCAGGTTTGGTTGGTTGGGGGGGGCATGCCCGCAAGAAGCTTCATGGACTTTCATACGGCTGCCTACACCCTAAACCCTAAACCCTAAACCCTAAACCCTAAACCCTAAACCCTAAACCCTAGGATTCGATCGGCTTCGGGCTCTTAAGGTAGAGAGCTCTTCTTCCAGGCGCTGCTCGCTTCGAAGTGTAGTGGCGAGGGTGCGCCACCCTCGCCGCGAAAGGCGAAGGCTGAGGCAAAGTTAGGGTTTAGGGTTTAGGGTTTAGGGTTTAGGGTTTAGGGTTTAGGGTTTAGGGTTTAGGGTTGCTGATCGAGACTGGGGACGTTTGTGCCCCTGGTTCTAAGCAGGGAATGAGGGAATGAGGGCCCTATGTGTAACCTTTAAGGGCTTATATAGGGCCCTCATTCCCTCATTCCATACTAAGAACCAGCGAGTTGTGGTATTTTCAAGGTCACGGGCTCCCATACTTCCTCTTGGGAAGCCTTTCTTTGTTTTATCAAGACCCACTGGAAACTCAGAACATGATTTACGCATATTATGTGGATGTAATATTCGTTCGAAGGGGAGTAAGAATGTAATTAAGAACCCGTAGGTATTGGGAAGGTAAGTTTTGGTGGCTTAGGGTTAGTGGCTTCAGAGTAATTTGTGTGGTTTGGGGCTTAGCGCGATACCGTCTGTGAGGTTTATGCAACTTTGACCATGCACGGTGCTAGCGACGTGACGGACGAAGGTGAACGGTACGGAAAATCAGCCTGTAAGAGGCCTGTCATCGCACATGCCTGAAGCCAGCATGCACACACCGAACCACCAAGCCTGTGTGTAAGCCAAGCCTGAATGAAAA